TGTTCTCTTTGATCACTTATTGAGGGCAGTTTTTGCCAGAGTTCTCCATCCCAGTTATTGTTTTCTCTTTGTTCTTAGTATTTTGTTAGAAAACACTTTGAGTCTATATAAATATCTTGCTTCTCACTAAGCATTTGCCTGCTGCTTTTAGTATATACTAATAATTCTTCCCTGATTCTGTTATTTACCACATGTTGACTTCCTAATCCCATTTCTTTTGTATTTATTATTTTCTTTTAAAGTAATTAGTTGGAATTCTACTCTAAGGAAAAATTTCCCTTCTCCATTTATTTATTTATTCATTTGTATCAGTATGGGCTTATAAGTTCTAATTTTATTGAGTAGGTTATGATTTTGATGTTCAGCTTGCCCAAGTTTGAGGGCTTTGTGTCTTTTGACTTGTGTCTTCAGCTCTTGGTTTTTACTGGTGCAAACAAGGTGCTCCAGATTTGTGCCTTCTCAGTACTGGTCCTGGAGTCAGCCTTTTCTCCAAGGAATCTTAGGTTCTTTTAATAAAAATGGTATTTAGAAACCAAAATGTATTGCTATTATAATACCACTATTTTAGGTCCTTTTTATATGCATACATGTCTTCTTTCCTTCCTTCCTTCCTTCTTTCCTTCATCCCTTCCTCCCTCCTTCCCTAGATAATAGTATTATTATATCAATGTTAATTTTACAGTGGTACCTCAGTTCACAAACTTAATTTGTTCTACGGTTTTGGCAAAGATGGCCATGTTTGTGTTTGTGTGGCAAAGATGGCCATGGTTATGTTTGTCACCCAATGCAGAGTTTGCAAACAAAAGCAAAATTTTGCCAAATGCCTCTGATTGTAAACCAAATTGTTTACAAACAAAAGTATTTGTGAACCAAGGCACCAGTATAGTACTTATTTTGATAACTGAATTCCTTCCATATTGATACCTCCAGTTCCAATCCCACCCCGTAAATTACATCTAGCCATCCTTCTATTTTTATAACTCCTTTCTCTTTTAGTGAGAAACGTGGCTCCCATTATCCACAGCATATTTACATATTTCCTCTATCTTAGAATATACAGAAAGTAGTTTTACAATTATTACCCTATACTGCTATGAAAAATCCACTTAATATAATCCAATATTTATTTATAGCTATTTTTATCTTAAGACTAATGTCTGTGAGCAAAAATACAGTTAGATTCATTTGCTTCAGTTTGTATTCTATTTTAGATTTTTCCTCTATTTTTCTTTTGAATATGTGAAATATGCTTTTAATAGTCAAAAGTATACAAAAAACATGTTAAATGCCACTCCTCTATACTTTCAGTTTCTATCCCACCCTGTTCCCACCCATTCCCAATGGTAACCAAGTTTATCAGTTGCTAGATTAATCTTGTCTTTCTTTTTGAATAGATGAGAAGATACATGTATATTGCCTTATTTTTCCTGATTTCTTTCACAAAAATAGCACACCACACATTCTCTTGTCACTTTGCTTTTTTTCATTTAACAATCTGTCCTGGAAATCTCTCCATGCCAGTTTGTAGAGATCTTCATTCCTTTATACCTCTGCAGAGTCTTCAGATTGCAATTCATTCCATCCCTCTGCTCTGTATGGGCATTTAGGTTATTTTCAATTACAAACAATGACATGCTTCCAGTGTCAGAATCAGACAACGAGTAGCACTGTGTATATGTGTTCTTGTCTATTGGACGTGTATATTCAGGGTGTTCAGAACAGGCTTGTCCCATGTTTTATTTATTTATTTATTTTTCCATTCTCTTTCTGGAGTTCCTTCGTGAACACATCTATGTTTTATTTTTAATAAAATAAGACAATATCTCATAGGTAAGAAATGGTTTCTGAATTTAATTTGCATTTTGATCATTGTAAGGATGAATCTTTACAAGTGAATATTTTGTGTATGAATTATCTATTCATGTTTGTTGCTTATCAATTTTTTCCCTTCAGTTTTAAGAATCCTTTATATATTATAAAGAATTTATAATTAATGAACTCTTAACACTTTATCTGTGATATATATTACAAATACTTTCTCCCAGTTTGTGTTTTGCATTTAGTTTTTTCTGTTGTTTAGCGTCATGACAATGTGTTGTTTTTAAAATCTAGTCAACTTTATCGATCTTTTATTACCTCTGGAGAGTTACAAAGACTTTTCTACATTTGGGTTATAGAGGAATTGACTCTCATTTTCTTATAAGACTTCGCTGAGTTCTTTTGCTTATATTTCTATCTCTGATCTATTTGGAGTTTATTCTTGATAGAATTCTTGGCATTTTACTTTTTTCAAGTGGATATACAATTACACTAGCACCTTTTATTTTACAGTCCTTGTCCTACTTACTTGAGTAGACCTTAATCATATACAAAACCTTCATATGTACTTTGGTCTGTTTTTGGACTTTCTGTTCTAGTAACTGGCTTATCTGTTTATGTCCCAGTTCTGCACTGTTTTACTTATACAGACTTTATAGCATGTATTAATATCTGATAGGGCTAATACCTCTTCATAATTTTTCTTTCCAAATTTCCTAGTTATTCCTGCATGTTTATTTTTTTCATATGAACTATTATATCAGGTTATCTAATTACATAAAAACTTGTTGGTATTTTTATTGGGATCACATTACATTTAGAAATTAACCTAGGGAAAGTTATACCTTTTTAATGTTGTTCTGTCCCTGAACAAAGGATGTCTTTCTGTTTGTCTACACTTGTGTCTTGTGTTTTAAATTTTTCTTTATAAACTTTTGCACATATTGTTAAGTTGAAATATTTTATCTTAGTTGCCAATATAAATGGGGTTCTATCTGTGTTTCTATAAGTGATTATTGTTCATATATATGAAGGATATTAATTTCTATATGTGAATTTATATCCTGTTATATTTAATTTTTATTATTTGAGATATTTTATTATTGATTTTTCAGATTGCTTTCATAGTGTCTGCAAATGGAGGTGGTTTTACTTCTTGTATGATTTCTTAATAATTGTATTGACTCCTGCATCCAAGATAAAATTAATTATATTGATAACATATACATGAATATTATAAATACATAGCATAAACATTTAAAGCATATTAACTATTCATAATTTCCTATTTTCTTTAATGTTTTATGAGGAATAGATGCATAATTGTGTCAAGAGCTTTTCAGCATTTATTGAGACAATCATAGGATTTCCCTCCCTAAATTGGTCAATAGGATGTTTTATATTAATGCTAGCAGGACTAGCACCTCTGGAATGCATTTTACTTGATCATGGTGTATTGTTTTCTTAATGTATATTACTAATCTTAAATCCATCAATACCAAAGCTCTATGGAAGTGTTGTTCAAAGACAGTATCCTCTGAGGCACTTACTAAATGATTTCTGCTGAATCAGAATTCTGAGCAATGTCACAGGAATCTGCTTCTAACGAGTCCCACAGAGATGGTCCTTCTGCATGCTGAGAACCGCTGGCTTACTAATTATTCAATGGGGATGAGAAATTATTACAAAAAATATTTCAGCAAAGAGTTTCCTCCATGGTTTCTTTAAAATGCTACTTTGGGTCTTAAAATATTAAATTCTAGGTGATCAGCTGGCTATAGATTGTACAAAGAACTTAAAGTCTGAAATCTTATCTGCCTCTTGATATTCATCCAATGATCCATTTATTTCTTCAACTCTTAAAGCACTATGCAAGAAGGAAAATACCAAGATATGTAAGACCAGTTCCTGTACTGTTGTAGGAAAAATGAAGGATTATGGAAATATTGATAAATATTAGCCATTGCAGTAGAAATATTTTCCAGGAATTTTAGGGTCATGAGGGGCTTCAAAGAAGAAATCCTCCTCTCTTCTGGACCTTAGAAGACTAAAGAAGCAGTGATGCTTTGGGCAAAGCATTTTCCCAATGTAATATTAACACTCAGTGAAAGATAATGATTTGCAAAAATATCATTTACATACAACTTTTAAGAAATTGCTCTCTACACATGATGCACTAGTACATCAGCACATCAACTCATGAAACACAGCTATCTAAGATTACTTACATACATAAGGGAAAGTTGATCTGTCAGTGGAGAAATCTCTGTAACCTATGAATGAATTCTTTTGAATATGTTAAAATTTATTAGAAACCCTGAATGACATCAATAGTAAAATAGAAAACATCAATAATAAATGGAAACTTTAGTAAATGGAACATGAATTACCACTGATTTTATTAGTATGCTTCAGCTTCTCTTAAAGAAAAAACAGATTTATACCCTCTATTAGAATTTGTGACGGTTTGGTTCCAGTCTCTTTATTCTTAGTATTAGACTGCTTGTCCGGGACAACTGCTATGTGGAAGAGAGACTATAAAATCTTATATTAACATTCATCCTAGGGTAATAATTATGGGTTGGCTTGATATGGAATGCATTTGTTACCCCATGAATGACTCGCTCATGAGAAATGAGAGTGCAAGATTTTTAAGTGCAATATTGGTACCCCTTGTTCTGAAAAAATTCCCCCCAAGTCAAGTGTAGTAAGGATTCTTTCATTTACTACTTTTAAAGCTCTAGTAGTGGGAGAGTTTTTAAATTACCAACATGTATATTTATCCAAAGTCCATTTAACTGGTGCTTGGTAATGAACGTGCTACAGATTATGCTTGCTTTAGGGGTTCTGGGCATGCACCTTGTAGCAGGTGTCAACTGAGATGGATGCAAGTGTCACACTGAAATCTTAGCTTATCTATTCTGCTTTAACCAGCTTTAGCCATTACTTTGCAGTAGTTACTTACCAAATCATTTTTTAAGGACCATATTTGAATGTATATTTGGATTGTCTCAGCAATGGGAAGAGAGAAAGCCCTTCAGTAGGATTTTTTTGAAAAATGTATAGGCATCCACATTAATCTGAAGATAGTTAAGTAGTTCCTGGATGAAAACAATAAAATTTAATGTGTCTTTGTTGAGCATGATTATATTAATTTTAGTAATTTCTTTTTTAATTTACAGTTGGTAATCAGTGGATAAATTACATTTCATTCTGTGGTCTTAGAACACATGCAGAGCTTGAAGGAAACCTAGTCACTGAACTTATCTATGTCCACAGCAAGTTGTTAATTGCTGATGATAACACTGTTATTATTGGTAAGTATATGGTCTGTGATTGTGCTCCTTGCCAGTTGACTTATCCATGCCCAAATCTTTCTTGTTTATTCTGCCCATGTTTTCTTTGCAGTTGAAAGAGTTAACATAATATCTAAAGAATTTCTGAAGCAACCACTTTCCCTTGTATCCTTTCTAATCTGTTTTTATCCATAAAAAAATCTTAAGATACAGAGGGGTGAAATTGACTTGTTGCAAATTCAAAAGGCAGTGGTTTAACCCAGCAATCTTGCAATTTGCCTGATCTTATTCATTCTTTATTGATAAATAGTATAAATAATATTATTTGATATTCTTATTTTGAATCCCAGTGCCTAGATTTCTGGAATTGAAAGGGAAAAAATATGGAGGGAAAGTGTCATAAAAAAAGTACCTTCTGTTAATCTGTATGTGTTTACAATACATCTGTCCAGCCATCATCAGAGATCTGAAGTTATTTAAAAGCCAAAGTCCTTCTATTAACATATTGCTACCTGTATGCTTACCATTATTTTTCCTAATGTCTGTGTTTTGAGTGTCGTTAACCAAGGTGCAAAGCAAGTCAACTTTGTTGGTATGTACAGGGCTGAGAAGCAGGTCCTGTATTAATGATAGGATGAACCCTACACTAAAGTTCATAGTTTTTTCTTATCAAGGACACACAGTGGATTTCTCCAAAGACCCCTCCCCACTGATAGATTCAGAAGTTACTGTTTTTGCATACTATCCATATTAGATGCAGTTGGCCAGACAGATGGATTTTCATCTTCATTCTCTTTTAGTATCATGTTACATGTACATGGGAAGGTAAGGATGAGAAAGAGTTAATAACCAGCCAGATAAATGAATTGACGAGGGTGGAGGTGTGTTACTCTGAGATAGGATATGTCCCACCATTGAGGATTCTGCTCATCTGTTTTAAATAAAATTCAGTTTCTTAGCTACAATAAGATAATTCCCTAGTCTTTAAGAAATTAAATGTCACTAAGTGTTTTGAATTTTTTTGGCAGTTACTATACATTTTCTATCTCTATCCTCCATGGAACAAAGAAAAAAATTTAATATCTAGGAATAGACTGTCTTACCTGGAATGTAATTTGAAAAAATAGTTCTGAAGCCAGAGAATATATAGACCACAGTGTGTGTGTGTGTGTGTGTGTGTGTGTGTGTGTATGTGTGTGTTTTGTGTATGTGTTGGAGGGTTGGATAGATTGATTCTTTCACTATTTGTACAGGGTATTTAAGAAAAACATCTTGTTCTTCCATCTGTTGCTGTATAGGGATTGTAGCTCTTTCCCCCTCTTTCTTTAATACCTAAGGTTTCTCTGATTTCCCCTCAGCTATTCTGGCCTTGTTCTTCAAAAGCCAACCTTAGAATATTTTTATATTAAATTTGGCAATAACAGCAGGAAGGGAAAAATATTGATGTTTGCTGAAATGGAAAAATAAACAAAGCCAAGTAAAATTCAATTGATCTCTTCAGGAAGATTTCAGAGCTCTTGAAGTAAAAATTGACAGATGTAAATATTTTCCTTTGAAAAGTCACTTTGACTTTCAGCCTTCTTTATATAAAGTATAAATGCAAATTAGTACTCAGTAACAGACCTAAGAGTTGAATAGGTTTTTTGAGGTTTTTAATTGATTTATCTTCTAGAGCAGTCTTTGAGCCCTTGAAGTTTACAGTTTATTTAGGCTGGCAATAATTGATCAATTTTGCTTAGAATTTATATTCACTCTTGAAACCAAAGATGTGGCCATGGGATTATGAGGAGGTCTTGCTTGCTGCCCTCAGAGGATGGGTTTCTTTTTTCCTTCCCTAAAAGCATTGTGGCATAAAGAATAGATTTCTCCCCAGGACAAATCCAAAAGTTCTTTTATTCATTTTATCTCAGTGGAAACTCTCTCATTTGTTGTTTCTGTACATGTCAGCCCTGTTCAAGTTCATGCTACAGAGAATATTTATAATTCTCAAAGAAAAGCTTAAGAAGTTAGGTTGGGAATATTTTATAGATTTTAAACACGTATTTAAAAATGTAAAGGAGGTTAAAGTAACTAGTGATTAATTTTTTAAGATGGCAAACTTACATCAGAATTATTGAATAGCCAACACAAGAAAAATGACTAATTTTATTTCTCTTCATTTGTTTTCCTCATGAGCAAAGATTTTATTTTATTTTATTGTATTCTTTTAAGTTTTTTTCTGATTAGTTTATTGGTACATTTTAAGTATACAACACAATTATTTGGGATCTTGTACTTTTACATGATGTATCTTGGTTCTTATTTTTTTCCCCATTCCCCTGCCCTCCCTTCACCCCCTCCTCCCTTCCCTATTTACAAAGACTTTCTTTCCATGTTTTTCCTTTTCTCGTATTTTTTCTTTTCCCTTCTTTCCTTTCCCCTAACCCTCCTACTTCCTCTACTCCTTTAGACATTGTCTTCCTATTTCACAAAGCAAAGATTTTATTTATTTATTTATTTTTGGTACCGGGGATCGAACTTGGGACCTTGTACCTACGATGCAGGTGGCAGAACCACTGAGCTAAATCCCCAGCCCCAAAGGTTTATTTTTTTCTACATCAAAGATCTCTTGTGTATATTTTTTATTACCTATAGACTTGGGTAGTCCGGCTGGTCTTGAGATCTCAGACAAAATCCACTTTACTCATCCACTTTTATTTTGGCACATAAAGTAACATTTTTGTGCTCTCTTAACCAAAACAAGACTCTCTTTGAAGTAGAATTTAAGGCTATTCTGTTGATGAAATGAAATGATTGTTTTTTAGTTTGCACTAATTCACTTCAAAGCACAGATGGGTTATGCAAAACACAAATAAAACAGCAAAGTTCTCTTCACAGTGCTCAAGGCTAGAGCAAAAGCAACCATTTCTTCCCCTTAACATCAGAAGGTTGGGATGGTTCTTGCAGAATTGCAGCTGGAAGAAATGATTGCCAAGTGTGGGCAGGTGGGGATACTATGTGTAGGTTGTGAATATTCATATTTGAAGAGCAGGTTGAAGAGTGGCATGTGAGGGCCTGTAGTTCAAGGGCTGCCCCAGTGAAGAGGGATTAACTAATTTTTCAAAGATCTAGTCCTGTGTGTTTTATTCCTGCTATGTTAGAATCACCTAGGGATCTTTAAAATGTCTGCAGTGTACTTTAAAATGGATCAAAACTCCCCAAATATCAAAATAATGGATTGATGATGGACATAGGGACACAGCATATACAAAGCCTGCTTTCTACTTCCAACGGTGTTTATCTAATTGGGCTGGTTCCATGTCCAGGCATTGTGGGGCGGGGGCCTGTTTTAATTTTTGGGTTCAGTATTTTTTTAAATTTCCTAGGTGCATGTCAATGTGTAGTTAGAGCTGGGAATCCCGGATATGGAGGCACTGGGAACACAAGAGGGTGGACACTACAGAGTAGCCCATTTGGGCTCAACAGAGAAAGCAGTTTTCCTTTAAAACAACTGAAAACAGAGCATAGTTGATGTGTTACTTTTCTATTACTGCTGTAACAAATGGCCAGAAGCTTAGTGGCTTAAGAGAACTCCAATTTATGATGTGACATGTCTGTAGATTAGAAGTCCAAGGTGAGTCTAAAATCAGGTGTCAGCAGGATTGGTGCATTCCTTTCTGGTGGTTATAGAAAAGAATACATTTCCTGGCCTTTTGCAGCTTCTAGATGCTGCCCATACTCCTTGTCTCCTGCCCTACTTCCTCCATCTTTGAAGCTGCCAAGGTTGCATTTCTGGGAATTCCCAGAAGTCTCAGCCCATCCATTTATAAGCATGTCTTCCTATGAGTCCTCCTAACTTCTAAGGGCTCTTGTGACTATATTGAACTCACCTGGACCATCACCCTATTTTAAGGTCAGCTCATTAGCAATCTTACCTCAATATATAGCCTTAATTCCCCTTTGCCGTGTAACCTAACATTTTCACAGGTTTCAAGAATTAGAAACTAGACATCTTTGGAGGTATTATTCTTTCTACTATGAATTCACAATTTCTTCAATTTCTTTTTTTTTTTTTTTTTGTCTTTTTTATGTTTTTGGTACCAGGGATGGAACTCAGGACCTTGCTCTTATGAGGCAGGTGCGGTGCCACTGAGCTAAAGTCCCAGCTTGAATTCACAATTTCTTAAACAAGACACAAGAAAAAGCACATACCACAAAGCAAAAGATGAGTAAATCCAACTACATTAAAATTTAGAATTTTATTTATTAAAAGTTTTATAAAGAGAATAAAAAAAATCACAAACTGAAAGTATGTATTTACAACACATTTAATATTCAAAACTCATGAAGAACCCCTAAAAGGAAATAAGGAAAAACAAACATCCAAAAAAAATATGAAAGGACAAAGGAATTTTATAGAAACTGTACCAAAGAGAAAATAACCATATGAAGAGTCATAAACATATGAAAAGATGTTCATACTCATTAATATAATAGCTACATGGGCTAAGGATTTAGCTCAGTGGTTCCACCGCCTGCCTTGCAAGCGCAAACACCCGAGTTCGATCCCCAGTACCAAAAAAATATATATATAATAGCTACATAAATGACAATTTTTTGAATTACCAGAGTGGAAAAAATTAAAAGTTGGGCAATCTAAGTATTGGCAAGATAGTAGAGAAATAGGAGCTCCCATTCACTGCTGGAAGGAACATAAGTTGGAAACCACTTTGGAAAATATCCTGGCATTATCTAGTGAAGTCACACACCCTGCAATTCAGCACCCCACTCCTACATACAGAGCTTAGGTAAATCCTCATGTGTGTGTATCAAGAAACCAATACACAACTACCTGGTGCAGAATTGTGCACTAGTGCAAAGCTCTGGAAGCAAGCCAAACATCCATCAATAGTAAATGAATAAATAAATCCCTGGTGTGCTCGTTCAAGAAAAATAAATGCATTACAATTATGTACAGATAAATCCCACAGACATAACACTGAATGAGAAAAGCAAATTTCAAAAGGTTATTTGTTGTATGTATGATTCCATTATATAAATTAAAACAAGTCAAAAGTAAAGTACTTTTTGTTTAGGAAAACATGGAGAACATGATGACAACAAAGATCAACATCAGGTCTCCCAGTCAGAGAGGGAAGGCCAGGCAGGGAAGGTTCTGGGAGGCTTCTGGGAAGTGGTGGTGTTCTCAGCCTGGGTGATGAACTCAGTGACACCTACTTTACTGTTGCTTAAGTTGCACATATGTTTTCATATATTCCTTTGTATTTTGATTTTTAAAAAATTTTAAGTTTTCTGATAGTAGACTCAGAAAAGAACATTTTCTAAACATTAAGTGACTTCAAACTGATCAAGGCAACATCCTAATACAAATAAGGGATTATAGTTGCCATAAAAATAATACATGAATTCAGGGCATATTTGTTATGAAACAATTCACACACTAAGAACAAGTAGAGAGCAAAAAGTCAGAAGTCTTACTGTCCTCCATCTCTGTACCACCTTTACCAGTTCAGTGTGCATCTTTCTAGACCTTTTGCTCACTCCTCTTCTGTGTGTTACATAGAAATGAGCGCATGCCCAAATACAGTATCTCCTGTTCTGCATTTATTTTCAGAATGCAGGAATATTTAACCATAGAGTAGAGATAGCACTTACATCCATCCATATCTCATTGTCAGTATCACATTTATTAAGCTCCTCTAAAATATTTTCCCCCTGTTAATCCACTCATCTACCTAATATAGTTGAGATCAGTGCTCTGAATAACTCCAGATCAACTCTTCAAGTACAAGAACCAAACCTTATCTCTAACAATTCCAGCTCACAATGTCGGGAATGTACTTCTATCCCTGGGAGTGTGGGGGCCCACTGTGTTGGGAGGAGACTTGGGGACCAGTGTGTGTGTGTGGGAAGGAGGGAGAGCTTTTCTAGGCTGGCTCACATCCCTGTTTCCTGACAGCGAATAGAGCAGTGATGTCCCATTCCAGTCACCCCAGCCCAAGAACAGCCTCTGCCCGAGACAGGAGGATGGTAAAGTCCTAAAGTAGCACAGTGCAGACTTTATTCCTAGTGTCCTTATAATTTGCACACCCGCATGAGGTAGGAGGGGGGGTAGTTAAACAAACCAGAGAGGAGGCATTGATGCAAAGGCTACATTGGAGTAAATTCTCCCTTCCTATGGCATTGGGCTCTGGTAGCTATTCTAGGTTTCTGATAAAAATGCTAATAATAACATTTGTAGAGCAGCTTATAGATCAGTGAGTGCTTTCACCCCTACAAGGTCCATATCATTGTCTCGGTTTATGAAAGCTCAAGTAAAAGCTGAAAAAGATTAAAGGACTTGCCGAATTGTTTCTCTGGTCAATTGTCAAGCTCAAAAATATGGTTGCAGATTTCATAACTTCATGGAAATGTAAGTCTATGAATAAGGGATGATTTGCTACTTATGTGCCTGAATGTTTTAAAGATTTCTGTCTTATAGTACTTAAATAGCACCCCCAAATTTCTACAGGGCGCTCGATATTTTGTCACTCAGGGCTACCGCTCACATCCATAGTCAGCAGCTCCACGCCAGTACTCTGGTAGGTGGCAGCTAAGTCCCTTGAGGGAAGGGCAGCTTTCTCCCATGCACAAAAGCCTACCAGTTGGGTCAGGGCAGGGCTAATGTCACCTTACTGCTCTGGCTACCCAGTCACGGGGGCCTGAGAGTGTTAAGCCAGACCCTTCTGCTCCACATTTGCAGAGGCAGCAGAGCATGGCAGCTAGGCCAAGAGAACGAAAAAGTCAGCAGAGCCCCGTCTGTAGTTTGTAGGACACCTCAAGGATTCAAAAGCATGGACCTGCAGCAATTAATGCAGAAAGTGTGATGGGGTTTCTGAACTCATAGAGGAGGACTGCAGAAAGCTCAGGTTGAACTAATATGAAAAGATTTGCCCTTCACATGTGAAAGTCAACATTCTCGGCTCATTTGGATTTAAAAATAGAATGGAGGGAAGCTGATACAGAAGCTGTTGGTATGCCGCACAAATGCAGCAAAGAGTGGAAAGTCCATAGCACTAGTGGCACAGCCTGCATTTAAGATTAGACTGGGTGGTTGTGAGGGCACACTTGGGTTTTAACATTCATAATTATATGACTATGAGTTAAAGTCTGTGCAGAATCTGATTATTAACTCTAAAAGCAAAGCCATCTTCTGTACTGAACTGGTTAGTATGTCTTTCTTCTTGAAGTATTTCATGGTTGTATCAATTGGAGTCATTTGAGCCACATATAGAAAGCTCAACTAGGGCTGGGGATTTAGCTCAGTGGCACTGCACCTGCCTTGCAAGCACAAGGTCCTGAATTCAATCCCTGGTACCAAAAAAAAGAGCATGTGAAACAATACAGAAAATGTATTATTTCATATAACAGAAAATTATAAGGTTGACTAAGGATCCAGAGCCTTTCTTTCAGTTCTCCGTCTTCAGTTTGTCTGTTTGTCCCCTCATGCTTGCAAAATGGCTGCAACTGCTCCCAGAATTATGCCCTCCTCCAACCTGTCAACTCAAAATCCAAAGGCTGAAAAAGACAGCATTTGTCTCTTCTGTTGCTTTATACAAGGAAGAAAAACTTTCTCAGAACACCCCCCCCCAAAGACTTTTCTTCATGTTGCATTGGCTATAACTACACCAGACACCAATTCCTAAGCCAGTCAGTGGTAGAAATAATGAAATTACCATAGCTACCTTAGAGTGATCAAGTTTTGCCCTGGGTTAGGGACAGTCCCACCTCCCTAAAGCACAGCTTACCTTGATATCTTGAACAAAATTCGAGTTTTATCAGCAAGGGAGAATGGAGTGTGGAGGACAACGAGCAGAGTCTGCCTCAACAGGATGGTTGTTCAGTTTTACTGTTTCTCTTTATAGGCTCTGCCAACATAAACGACCGAAGCATGCTGGGGAAGCGTGACAGTGAAATGGCTGTCATTGTACAGGACACAGAGATGATCCCATCAGTAATGGATGGACAAGAGTACCAGGCTGGCCTGTTTGCCCAAGGACTGCGGCTACAGTGCTTCAGGTTGGCCCTCCAAAGCTATGTGCACACTCTTACACACTTACTGGGGCCCCTCTTGCCATTAGCAGTGTCCTGCCAGATTCTTTTTCATCTAAAATAGTGTCTCACAGAGCAGAGGGTGTACACTAGTGTGTGCAGTGCCTTTACACAGTATGCAAACATTATTTTTTTTACTTTAATAGTCTTATTTTTATGAGTAATAGGACAAAATAGCATTTTAAATAAATTAATGGATTTAGGGCAAGACCAAGTCAAAGCATGTGGGACCTAGTTAAGTTTTTAAAGTAAGTTCCTTTTAAAAAAATTCAAATGGTTCAGTAATATTAAGATATAATAAAAATCAATAAAAGTGTATTCTAGTGATTACCACTGTCAGATTTAAACCTGGAATCTTCAGTACTGAGGCTTAGGATGACACCAGATATGAGATTTGAACAAATCTATGGTCAAACAGAGAGACTGCTGGGTTAAAAAGCCAAAGCTGTGGGCCCCTACATGAGTCTTTCATTTCATTGAGTGCTGCTGAGAACACAGCGAGGCTGATCTCGGACTGACCCCGGCTCCAGCAGAATGATTCTTCTTGAACCTTCTAGATCATGCCTGTCTCTCCTCTGCTGGCTACTGTCCATTGGCTTCTCTTCTCACAAGTAAATGAGCAAGTAAGGAAGGCCCTTGTAAACACACTCATCTCCCCACTGTCTGTGGGGCACCCTAACTACTCTCACAGCCCTAGGCCTTCTCACAAAGTCCACCTTTTTATGCTTCTCATACTAAGCTTCCATGATGCTGCTTCATTATGGGTCTACAGTGGGATGCAGCAAGTGTCCCTGATGTAGTTTAGGGGTGTGCTTCATTCCATTTGGGGAAGGGCACTCACTACAGCATCGTCGCTCTAATCCTTGATGGTTGATGGTCCATTTTGGAAATTGGCTCATTTGTAGAGGTGCACACTGAGCACCTCCCACCCTGCAGATGTGCGGCCATTCCCTTGTTCCTGGCAGTCCAAACTCTGGCTTCCCAGGCCAAGATGAGCTTGGAGTCCAGAGACTTTCCCTCTCTGCTCTCTGCTCCAAGAACTCAAACCATCGCTCAAAACCTGTCAAGAACTTCTAACAACTTTTATTGCTTTATTCATTGATATTTCAATAAAATGCTAATGTTAATTTGTTTTGTATAGCAGGGAGAATTTAAAATTAGTATCGTGCTAATCAACCCACTGATTGCCTACTGCAGCATATAAAAGGAAGCAACTATTTGCTTTTGTAAGCTGAAAATATATGTCATATCTTTTCAGTTCTGTGAGAACTTAAAGTGGTAGACTTCCTTTTAACTTTTTAAATGTATAATAATTATAGAGGGAGGGGGTTCTGGTGGGTAACGCTTTTTTTAATTTGCTTTTGCAGTACTAGGGATTGAACACAGGGGCTTATGCTTGCTAGGCAAACACTGTGTCACTGAGGTAAATCCCCAGTCCTTTTTGATTTTTTATTTTAAAAAAGGATCTTGCCGAATTGCCCAATCTGGCCTCAAACTTGTAGTCCTCCTGCCTCAGCCTTCTGAGTAGCTGGGATTACAGGCATACTCCATTACACTTGTTTACAACACATTTTTATTATAGAAATTTGGCAAATACAGAAAACCAATAAGACAATTAAATTCTTGGGCCAGGGATTTAGCTCAGTGTTTCCAGCGCCTGCCTCGCAAGAGCAAGGACCTGAGTTCAATTCCCGATACCAAAAAAAAAAAGAAAAGAAAAAAAAGAAAATTAAATTCATCTGTAATTTCCCCACCTAGTCTTAATAATTTTTAAAATTCATTCATCTAAAAATTAAACATATTTGTGGGTACCATGTGATGTTTTGATGTGTGTATTCATTGTGTAATGTTCAAATCAGATTAAGTATCTCTGTCTCCTCAACATTTATCATATTTGTGGTGGAAACACAAAGGAAAAATCTTTTCTTCTAGCTTCTTTGAAATACATAGTACTTATCATTACCTATACTCACCCTACCAAGCAATAGCAGAGCAGAACTGTTTCTCTTATTGAGCTATACCTTATGATAGTACCCAATGACCCATTGCTTCATCCCTACCCTCTTACTGTCCCCAGCCTCTGGTGATCACCATTCAACTTCCATGACATCAACTTATTTATATTTTGATACGAGTGAGATCACGTAGTACTCATCTCTCAGAGCTTGGATTATTTCACTTACCGTAATGACCTACAGTTCCATCTGTGTTGTCACAAATAACAGCATTTCATCCTTTTTGATGACCAAATAGGACTCTGTTATGCATATGTACTACATTTTATTTATCCATTCATTCGTCAGTTGATGGACACTTAAGTGTTTCCTTTTATTGGATATTGTGAATAGTGCTACAATAAATATGTGAGTACAGATGTCTCTTTGACATAATTGCGAGATCAAATGATAGTGCTACTTTTAATTGTTTAAGGTACTTCCATAGTATTTTCTCTAATGGCTATACTAATTTACATTGTTGCCAATAGTGTGAGGGTTCCCTTAGTCCATATCCTGCTAATGTGCTAACAATTTTAACTTTTTTTTTTTTGGTACCTGGCTTCGAACTCAGGACCTTGCTCTTGCAAGTCAGGCGTGGTGCCACTGAGCTAAATCCCTCGCCCTAATTTTAACATTTAATGTATATCATTCCACTTTTTTCTGTACATATATAGTAATATATTGCATTTCTTTTACTGAAATAACAGAATCTTGTAGGTTTACAATATTATTTAAATAGTGTTACACACATTTTTCTGTATCAGTTAAGTATGCTTATATAACACTTTAATAGCTACATCATATTTCGCTGTATGTGTATGCCGTAATTTCTTTAACAAATGCCTAATACCTCACTTTTGGCACATTATTTTGCTGATATAAAAATGGGAATATTGTTTCCTTTGTCATATATAGAAGCTTCCTTTGTCATCTAATTTATAATATACTAGCAATATTTTAGAGGGTTTATTCTTTCTGTTTTTAATAAATTCTGTCATGTTAGTTACTCTTTGCCAATTTGTTGCAGTTCAAATGAAATGTCATTATTCTAATTTGCATTTTTAGGGTTTTTAAGAAATGTGTTTATTAGTTATGAGTAATTGTTCTTTTGTGAATTACCTAGCCTATTCACGTCCTTTGCTCAGTATGTTGGGATGTTTAACTTTCAGTTAATGACTTATGAGTACTTTAAATATTTTATTTAGGATGCTCTATATGTTTATATGTAAATATGGTTGATCAATTTTCTTTTAATCTTATTTAATAGAGTATTTGGAGGAAATTTGTCAAGTATTATTAACCAAATCTATCAGTTTTTGTTTCCCCCCTTTTTCCTTTATACTTAGTATAGCTTCCTCAGCTCATGATGACACATTTACTTGTATTTTTTCTAATACAGTACTTGTTTGATTTTACCTTTGCATTTAACATGTACAGTTTATTTTAATGTTAGAAATGAGTTAGAGGGTCTAAATATTTTTCTCTAACTAACCAACTGATCCAGAGCATATCATACAATAGTAGTCTTTACCTGTCTACTCTGAAATGCTTCTTTTCGATACATGGAACTGCCATATGCTGAGTTCCTCCAGTCTCTATTATGTTATACTGAAAGTGTTTACTTGCATATCAGTGTGGTAGCGTTTTCATTATTGTGGCTGAGCATTTTAATACTACTTTTTGCCATGCTACTTCCTCAAATTAGTACCTTTTCCAAACAATATTTTTAAATATTCATTCTTCCCTATGAACTTCAGATTTATTTACTCAAGTTCTCTCAAATCATTATTAGTTATTTTTAAAGTTAGGATTGTAGCTGATTTATAGATCAATATAAAAGTACTTGACATCTTTATAACACTGAGTCACCCGACTGAAGAAGAAGGTCTGAGCTTCAATTGACTCAAATTTTTGTTCTTCAGTAAAGTGCCAAGGTTTTCATTATATGGGGGCTATTCTTCAGTAAGACACTCAGTTTCTTTTTTCTTTTATGCTGATCCTTTATGTTTCCGGAGAATTTCATTTCTAGGTGCTTTATTTTTCCTGATAAATTTCACACTGCCTTAAAGAGGCAGTTGTTTTTCAACAATTATTTTCCCTTTACCCCAATGGCAAACACAGATAATACATTAAAAAGCACCACAGAAACCTCATGTCAATTTTAGCTTCTCTTTATTACAAAATATTCCCAAAGATAACTATTGTGGCCTAGAGCACAGCCATTTTCTTACTTAAAAAATGCAGCTTCAATCCATTTTCCATCTGGGCTATTTCTGAATAGAAATCAAGAGACACATTTAATGTGAAATCAATTCTGAATGGAGCCAGGATCAACAACCAGGGTACTATACTGTCACAAACTGTGAGCCGAACTGTTCATTAAGGCCTGTAAGATTATCCAAACTTTTCTGATATAAGCATCACTCAACAGAAACCATTATACATGCAAGTAGAGCTCAGAATTATTTAAACTGATAGACATGAAGAATAGGAAGAACAGAAATAGTTTTCTACCATTTTTCTACCTTCCTACTTTGTGTGATACATAAACAACTAAATATTAAATAAGTGACATTATACACATCAACATCTAATCAAAGTAGCTTTCCCTCAAACCTTAGTCCTCAAAAAAATATCTATAGGACTTCATAATATCTTTAGTATGCATTTTCATATAATTTTTTGTAATTAAAAACTGACAGGGAAAATAATTTGTTGCTAAATGTTGACTGTTATGGACTTACTACAATTGCTTTTCTACAAAAAGTCTCAAACTGATAACTTGGTGGAAACATCACCTCATCTTTTTTTTCTAATTTGAAAGCAAAGTCAAAGAAATACTCTTTTGCTCAGTTTTCAGCAGCTTAGACCTGACCCAAGTCAAAGGTGTTCATATAATTAAATTATTGCCATAATCTACACTGTCCTTCAAATTTGGTACAGTAAAATTTTGCTTTGGGTCTCCATTGG